CGTTGGAACCTAGCGACTGTTCATTCGTACTCAAGATGGTGCAACGGCCCACCAAGGCGGATCATAACAAAGCGAATGGGGTTAGTGATGTCTCAAGCCCGTATATGGGGTCGGCGCCGGATCATAGCATGTCCTTCGATGTTAAGGATGTGGTCGATATTTCGGTCCCGAACGTCACCCCGGCCGATGTTACAGCAAAGAGCGCGAACGGTAAGTCACCGGGCTAGCTTGATAACATTGATGGCCACTTTGATATCCTAACGAAGTATCATCCTAACGAAGTATCAGGGACTCCTGTTGGTTTCAAAACGGATACTGACATCTCCGGAAATCTTGCGATTCGCGAGCGGACCCTCAAGCGCTGGGAACCTGCCGCCGATACGGACGTTGACCTCTCACTGGAAAGCGCGCACAATTCAACTGGATGGGACCAGTTCGAAGCAAACGCCAGGCTCTTCGGTGCTACCAGCAGTTACGATGAGAACATCTACACCACTAGAATCGATCGGTCGGACCCTACCTATAAGCAGAAGGAAGCAGATGCTGCTCGAATTGCTCGCGAAATCGAAGGCGCTACTACAGACAATGCACATGTTCGTGAGGAAAGAGGGCAGGTATCGGCAGATGATCATGATGAGGAAGCTAAATACAGCGGTGTCCGCCGTGATGAGAGGAACTTCCCGCCGCTTGTTTCGGGCCAGCCAAATAAGTACACCCCGCCAGCGCGCAGGCAAAACGCCGCTCAATCTGCCATGGTTTCGGGAGCTCCCGCAAGCTCTCTCAAACAGATTCCTAGTGCCCCGAAAGAGGCTGTTGCCGCCGGACCGCCCGAGGAGAATGGGCAGGCCCAGGCTCAGCCTGCACCGTCCAGTATAACAGCAAGCTCTGCTGCCGATACGGAACAAAAGCCTGCCTTGTCCAAGACCACATCTGGTGCCCCGGCTCCCGCAAATGCTACTTCGAATGTGGAGGCCGAGGTGCTCGACTCTTTCCGACAATTCGCCCACAGTGAAAAGGCGAAGTTGCAAGAACGCCGTCGTAACCAGGCTTCCTATGATCGAACCATTAAGTTGAACGAACTCATGAAGTTTTCTAAGAACTTCAAACTGGCAACGCCAGTGCCCAAGGATTTGGTACCCATCCTAGCTAAGGACCCGCACAAGCAGGAAGAGATCATCCAAAGAGCTCAGCAGCACGCTGAGGAGAAGGTTGTGACCAAGTCCCCAGCAAGCGCTGACTCGAAGCCCGCTGCTCGCCCATCTGGAAACGCTCGCCAGGAGAGTGGAACTATGCCGCCTCCTGCACAGTCTGACCGCCAGAACTATCCTCGGGGTCGTCAAATGTTTCCCCCAACCGGTCCGCATGCTGGACCGGGTGGGCGGCTTCCGCAGCAGCCCGTGCACCAGGGCCGTCAAGCCACTGGCATGCTCGGCCATCGTCTAGCAGATAACATACAGCAGCGAAAGGGAGCCGCGATGGGAACTGTTCCCGCTCCCTTGCCTATCAATGAAGTTCGCATTCCTCCAACTGGCCCAGCTGGCGAGCAGCCTGCTGTTACTAGCCCGAATAAGGTGCAGACACCAACCTCGTCCGTGTCGACCAAGTTCAACGTGAGGGCCCTGGAGTTTAAGCCAAACCCCGCCGCAAGTACCTTTACACCTGGTGCTTCGTCCACCTCATCTCCTTTCACTCGAGGACGCTCCGTCTCACGGACCACTAGCCCTTCGTTGTTCTTCGGGGCTAAGAAGCCAAGACCAATTTCTGAGAGGCCGTCCCTTAATGATCAGTTCAACCCCATTAAGCGCATGAAAAAGGAAAATGCGGAGTCGAATGAGAAGGGATTCGCCTTCAATGGAGGCATCCCGCCTGCTTACAGGACTCCCCCTACTTGGGATGCCGCTCCCGGAAACGAAGAAAAGACATACCTGGAAATGTTCAAGCCGCCTGCTTCGGTGCCGGCTATCTCTCCCCAGAGCCGCTCTGCGTCCAATCCCCAGATGCCTCCGCCGCAGATGCCGTTCCAGTTCCCACAGAACACTCCCGGCATGCCTCCCACCACTGGTCCACCACACGGGCCTCATCTGCACCCTCAGCAGCATCATAATTCCGGGCCCCCACACTTTGACGATCCCCACCGCATGCAGATGTCTGCCTCGACCTCGCAAGTGTTCCCATCCCCCAGGTTACAGCACGGTTACCCGTCCCCCATGGCGCCACATGCACAGCTTGCATTTGGCCAAGCCATGCCACAGTTCTATGTCAGCCAGGCCGGCACACAACCTGGACATATGAGACATTACCCGGGCGGTCCTCAATTCGTGAACCCCCAACCAACCATGGGCGCCCCAATGATGGTTCAACAGCCGTCTAGCGGACCATACATGGGTGTTCCTCAAGGCGTGGCCCCCTATACACCCCAGATGCAGATGTATTCCCCAAATCCTAGCCACGCGTATCCTCAACATGTGCCACCGCCCCAGCCTCACAGTGGCTATCCCAGTCCCAGTCGGGGTGCTCCCATGATGATGCACCAGAACTCTCAGCCGGGTCAGCCCCCCCAACCGGTGATGTTCATGTCCCCTGGGCAACATGGCCAGCCCGTGTATCCGACGCAGCAGCCTACTCACAGTATGTTATAACGAAGTCAGAAGACCTTTGTGGGGTTAGGTAGCTAACTAGCATAGTGCCCCCAGTCCGCGGCAATTACCCTCAGCAGCAGCCCCATTTCCAGTCCAGTCCCCACCAAGTGCACCATTACCCACCCCACCAGCATCGGACACCGAGTAGCGGTTACAACCAAATGCCGCAGATGCCTCCCCAAATGCCTGCTCAACCCCCGTCTACTGTCGCATCTGGACCTCAACCGCAAGAGGCAGCAGATGAAGTGAAATGAACCACCCCCCGCTTGACAAGCGTGAGACGCCATATCGCTGGCTTAGCGACCTGACCCAAAACACCGCCGTTCCTCTTTGGAAATTCAGGCTTCACTTGGATGTGAACTCCAGTTGTTCACCGTTGGCGACTCAAATCGTCTCGCGACGACCAACAACCTCACTATGTTTACCAAAGCTATCTGTACATTGTACGTATGCGCTGCGCTATGTGCACCGGAAGACTTATAGTGTTCCCGGTTGGCGGGTTGCGATTCCCTGCTGGTAAGCTTTCCTTAATACCCTCGATGGATTGGTACGTGCTAACAAAAGGCAGGCGAGGTGGCAGCTTCGTGTGAAGTATTGCAGTCAGATCAGGTGTGTATAGGAGTATAGCCATGGGCTATAAGTTGAGAGACCTCTGGGGATTGGTGTGTCGGCAAATGGTTCGGCATCCGGTGGCCTTGTTGCCATCCTATGCAGGCCTATACTATACGGCTTCTTGGAAGTGATTTACGGAAGCCAACGAAGGGATTCCACTACGACAACTTTCCAAGTTACTGGGGTACTCATTGCTATATGCCAATGATGTTCTGGGATTTATCTTTTTTCTTTTTCTTTTTTCCTTTCTTCGTCTTGCATGTCTTTTGCGTTGCCATCTCTACCCATGGGGAATCGGACCGGAGGAAGAGGGGAGTTCTGATGGACAGCGATGGGTGGAAGAGGCCATAGCGAGTGGTATAGGAGACACGTTGCACAGTACGGGGGTGAGTTGTTGGGATGACATTGAGATGATATGAGGGGAAGTGTTCTAGGGCGACTTGTTTTACGCATTTTGAAGGGGATGAATGACATTCATATAATCGAGCTTGATGCCTCTTGTAGACAGGACTCAGTATAATTAACGTAGCAATTACGCAGGAGCTGCCAGTCAGCACGACGGAAGTAAATAGTCGCAGGGTCTAACTAGGATAACAAAATTCCAACAACAAGCATCAAGTAGTAAAAGAGCATTCTCCTCAGGTCTTTTCAGTTTCTTATTTGGTCTTCATCCAACCAAGAAAGACGCCGCCACCGCGGTACTCTACCCCCCAACCCAAAGCCCAACCACCAGCCAAAGCACCCAGAACCCACCACCCCCGAGCCCATCACAAATCCACAGTTTAATCCCTGCTTCACCCTACCCATTCCCCCCAACCCGCAAATCTCCCATTCGGCAGTTAACTCAAAGAAAAAATGAATGTACGCCGCAGCCATTAGTTTCTGAGATTCCTCATGGAGAAAAGCGGACCAGAAACCCCAAATTGCGGCTTGGAAACAAAGAAAGTAAACGATTTGTTGTACACATGTCTCTCCAAGGTAAAAAAAAGCAACGTCGTGAGCCTCTCGACCAAGACCTTTCTGCCTTTAACAAGAGCTTGTGCCTGCCTTTATGATGGAGAAGAGCGGGGATGGAAAGTGATGGAATCAGGTAGCCGCGAGAGATTTTCCCGTGATGTTTGCGATGGGAGGGTATTCGGGGAAGGGGATTCTTTTTGTTGGATTGCTTGTGCTGGGAGTGTTGGTTGGGTTGGAAGGTGAGCACACAGCGGGGGAGTTGAGACGACGCTTTCGCATGGTTTTCGCGGTCTGACCTTTTACCAGGTGATCATCATTGGAGAATGGGTTGGCTCTTTTGATTTGGCGTGGAGTGATTGGGGGGAAGGGTTGTCTGTGACTGGAAGTTGAATTGGGTCTGGGACGGGGGGGAGGAGTCAAGTAGGAAGTTATGGGACGTGCCTTGTGTTAGCTCAGCTCGATGTGAAGGGTAAGTTGGAAGTGGGTATTGTTTATTGATAATAAGAGCGAAAAGAGCATCATGTTGGTATTAGTGTCGTTGCTGCTATCATTCAGCAGACGCGTCTGTCGCGGTAGATAGTAGACATAGAAACAGGAGAGCGTGTGTGTATGTGTTGTTAAAGCTAAAGAGAAAGAAAGAAAGTCAAGCTCCGGCGATAAAATGGGGAGCTTTCCCACAAAAAGACCCTAAACCCGATTGGGGGCGGGGTACCACGGGCAGCGCCAAAGGGGGACAAATCCGTTGTATTATTCCCATGTCCCCGATCTCTCTCCCTATGAAACTTGGGGGCCGTTGAATCTCTTGTCGTTCTGCCTTGAACTAGAGATCGGTCGCATACGTGTCGTTTCTCTAAGGCTTATTTTCTTTCTTTCTTTTATTCGTTTATATACCCTCCCCTTCTTCCTCTCTCCCCGCCGAAGACACGTTCCTCCACTATCGCCGCTGCGGTGGTAGTTATCTTTAAAGACCAGCTAGTAGTTGATTTAGCTGCCCCCTCCGTGAGGGACACTCACGACTGTCCGCACCACCCACACCAGCCATGGATTTCCTCAAATCTGCCGTCGCATCGGCGATCGCAAAGGGTAGTTCATTCCCTTACTCGCTCGGGGACAGAGTCGACCTCTCCGACTCGATCTGGACGCTACACAATGCTACGAAACGGGTATGAGATGTCATGCGGGCCCGCGGAATCAAAACCCCCCCATGGGGCTAATGCGATTGCTGATCGGCGCTTGGTACGTATAGGAAGACGGTTCGCCCTGCAGCGTCTTTACCTTCGATATTGCTTCCAATAAGTCCCGTCTGCCGTTGGCGAAGAATGCGGTGCGCAAGTCCCGGACGCTGAGACATCCGGGTGTGATTAAGGTCTTGGATACGATAGAGGTAATTGGGCACACGATAGTTCGTGTATCATGTGTTATGGATGGAACGGCTGATGGGTTATAGACGGAAGCTAGCCTTTATATTGTCACGGAACGAGTCGTGCCCCTTTCGTGGCATGTTAAGCGGAGGAGTCTGAGCGAGGAGACGTCCAAATGGGGGTTGTATACTGTGGCGGTATGTTGTGACTATGGTGGTTGTGGTTGCGATTGTGATTGTTCTGACGTATGCGGTTCTACAGTCTACGCTCAAGTTCATCAACGGAGACGCGGCCTCTGTTCATGGTGTTGTCAGGGCCTCCTCGGTATTCACAAGCGAGAGTGGGGAATGGAAGCTGGGCGGTTTTGATATTCTGAGTTCAATGAACGATGAAAATGCGGTCATTTATGTCGGTTTATACTCTTCTGCATGACGAGATGCGCTCTTGCTGACAGCGCTTTGCAGACATATGGTAGTCTCGTTCCTGACGCGGCTCGATTCACACCTCCGGAGGTCGTCAAGAGCGGATGGGACACGATCAAACGGAACCCGCTGACTGCGATTGATTCTTACGGGCTTGGAATACTAGTTTACGAGGTCTACAATGGCAACTTCACTGGCGGGGACCAGGTGGGCAAGACGACGAACATCCCGCCCAGTATGCATCAGAGCTATAAACGCCTGTGCACGGCGAATCCCAAACTGCGTCTGAGCCCTGCCCACTTTGTTGAGCAGGGGAAGAAGAGCGGCGGCTTCTTCGAAACCCCACTTATCCGGTTGACGGACGATATTGAGAGTTTGGGGCTCAAGAACGATGCAGAGCGAGAGGAGTTTGTCAAGTGAGTCAATGCCTCATTAGGGACAGGCTGCCACTATGGATGCTGACTGAAGTAGCGAGCTTGATGAGTTGTCCGACGACTTCCCGGAGGAATTTTTCAAGATGAAGGTGCTTCCAGAGTTGCTCAAGTCGGTTGAGTTTGGCGGAGGTGGCCCCAAGGTACTGGGGGCTATTCTGAAGATCGGGGCGAAGTTATCCCAGGAAGAGTTCAACTCAAGACTTACGCCTGTCGTTGTCCGACTCTTTGGAAACCCGGATCGAGCACTGCGGGTCTGCTTGCTCGATAACCTCCCGGTGATGATTGACAACCTGCCTCAAAAAATCGTCAATGACAAGATCTTTCCTCAGATTGTTAGTTCCAACAATCCCCGGCAGGGCTCGATGCTGATTTCATGTGCTATAGACCTCCGGCTTCACCGACGCCGCACCCGTCGTCCGAGAGCAGACGGTCAAGGCTGTTTTGCCAATCATCAACAAGCTCAGCGACCGTGTCATCAACGGTGATCTGCTCAAGTTCCTCGCACGTACCGCCAACGATGAGCAGCCGGGAATCCGTACAAATACCACAATCTGCTTGGGCAAGATAGCTAAGAATCTCGGACAAGGCGTGAGTGGCTCTTCCTAAAAGCTCATACGCAATGCTGACCAGATACAGTCGAGATCCAAGGTCCTTATTGCGGCCTTCACCAGGTCTCTTCGGGATCCCTTCGTCCACGCCCGGAGCGCTGGTCTGCTCGCTCTCGGAGCGACGTTGGAGTTCTTCACCGAGGAAGACTGCGCGACAAAAGTGCTTCCGGCTATCTGCCCTTCCCTTCTGGATAAGGAAAAGTAAGAACATCCACTTTCTCGCATGGCTCGGGTCTAATGCTTCATATAGGATGGTCAGAGACCAGGCGAATAAGACACTCGACTTGTATCTCCAGCGTATCCGAAAGTACGCCAGCACAATGGCAGACACGGTAATTCCTCCGGCAGCCAGTGCAGATCCGACAAAGGATACAGCCCGTATTGGCACATCTAACGACAAGTCATGGGCTGGATGGGCAATTTCCTCGTTCACCAATAAGCTCACGGCGGCCAATGGCGAAATCGAACCCACCGCCAACGGTACTAAACCGGTTGAGCCTGAACCAGCTCGTCCAGCTTCTGTTCCCCGCCCAACGAGGGCGTCATCGTCGGTGCAGAAAGAGACACTACGGCCTGCAACTCAGTCTCTGAATCGATCCATGTCGGAGCAACCACCAACTTTGGCTAAAGAAGAGGATGATACAGAAGATGTCTACGACGCGTGGGGTGCAATGGACGATGATGAAGACGAGCAGCAAGTAGAGGAGGACCCGTTCAGTGCGACAGCAACTAGCAGTCCAACAGTTTCTGCTCCTGCACCTGCCCCTGCACCTAAAGCAGCGCCCGTTCCGTACGATGATGGCGGCGAGCCGGACTTTGCTGGTTGGCTGGCCGCCCAGTCCAAGTCAAAGAAGCCATTGCCAAAGGGTTTGAATAAATCCAGTCCCACCTCGGCATCACGGCCATCTAGCCGCAGTAGCACGGCTAAGCCCAGGACCGTTGTCGCACCAGCGAAAAAGATCGACACGACACCTAAAGACACTGAGGAGGACGACGGTTGGGGAGACGCTTGGGATTAGCAGTATAGATCCTTAATACCCGCATATTTCTGTTCATCGGGGTACATATTCCCTTGCACTATATCGTGATTATATTTCTCATCTTGCGACATATCCAAGGCATTCAAGGCAGGGGAGTTTGGGCGCCATGCAGTATATAGTCCGGTTAATTGCTTATTCGTTGCTGCTGCATATGAGTTGCGATAGGATAGAATCAATCATTGCAGACATGGTCATATACACCTTGGTTTTGACAGTTAATAAATCTGGGGCAGCCCACTAGAAGTAAACATGAAACGCCGGGTAGCGGTAGGGGGGGGAGCACCGTTAGACGAATCGATAGTTGAGTGGAGGAGAGAGAAATATTACTAGTCAGTCTGGCTTGACGATCGACTCGATAAGGCGGAGGGGTGGCGCCAATCAAGCGCCGGCTGCCCCGTGATCACATCCGCCGCTGATCCTCCGCCGCCCGAGACACTTCCAAGTCATCTTGTCTCTCCCTCCACCTGCCGGCCATCCCGTTTTCTGGCCTTTTGAATTCCTGATCATCTTACTCAAGAGTAGGACTCAACTCTCCTACGTCTGCCGTGCGGTTCGCTCGCTCGTCCGTGCAGTGCCAGGGCTAATTATCGTGCTCAGAATCTACATAATCCTGCTGCCTTCCAGCGTCTCCGTACCTGAGTGTGTCCGGGAAGGCTGGTGGGTGTTGCATATCTTCCCGTGCGCGATGGATGACGGGTTACGAACCTGAAGGTCAACTCGGTCCGTGATTTTGATTTCACACTTCTACAACAATATCTGTCCTCGCTACAATGGAATCCGACGAAGCTCCTCCTCCGCCATACTCTGCGGTCGACCCGTTACTCGCACAAGCAAACAGCCGAAATGCCGCTGCGACTGCGGAAGTGAATCGTGTCCTGCTACGTCTGCGTGGGGGGGAGACAACCCTAGGCACCTCGCCCTCGAGTCCTGCGTCCAGCTCCGCCAGTCATGATTTTCCAGCATCCTCCGCCAGCTTGCCTACCCACTTCACATCTGCTGCGGAATACTTCGTGGAGCGACCGCCTCCGACTTCAAGCCGTCAGGGGGACATTGTGGAACATTGTGTAACTATCTTTCCGCGCAGCCAATCAAAGGATGTCCGGCGTCGACCTCGTTGTTGGACCGCGCAGAAGACGGAAGACATCACCCAGCAGGACTGGGACGTTTTCCTGAGATACTTGTTTCCACCGCATTTGGGTCTAGCGTCTACTTCGGCACAACTGCCCCGTCAAGTCAGAGCAGAGATTCAGCGTGATCGCAAGGATCGGCCCCAGGAAACGGATGAAGAACGCAAGAGACGGATTGCTGCCGTGATAATGGAGTGGAACCAATACTTCTTCGAACCCCGCTCGGCTCGTGTCGTATATGTCTACGTGATGGACCCTCAGAGTGCGCCGCGATCATCTTTGTGTCCTAAGTGTTGGCCGGCTGCTACAACACGAGAAAACCGAGTCGCCCAGGCGTCCGACGCTGGTCGAGGTCGCTTACAACAGTCGCCTGTGACACCAACAGCTGCTGAGCAGCCTGGTGCGCCTCCAGTCAGTGCTGTCTATACACCAGGGCCATATGCCTACCCACAATATCCTACCCCTCATACACCTTACGCACCTTATGGGCATCCTGCGCCATACAGCCCTGCTGTGTATCCGCCTCATCCCGCATACCATTACCCCCCTCCTCCACCACCGCCGCCGCCGCCGCCCGGTCACTACCCTCCTCAGCCTCCATGGGGCTGGACTGCTCCCCCTTATGGGGTTCCTTACCAGGATCCAAGCATGTCAAAGGGAGGAGGACCCTTAGATTGGATAGCGTCGTTGGCCTCGCAGGCCCAAAAGTATGGAGAGCGCTTCACTGAGCAAGCACAACATTATGGAAGGCAGGTGGAGGAACAGGCTCTTGCTCACAGTCGCTGGATCGAGGAGCAGGCCGGACTCCAGGGACGAAAGGTGGAGGATGCCTTCACAGGCTTTGTCAGTCCATCTCGCGATGATTGGATCGCGAACCAACCCCCTAAGCCAGGGTACGTACAGAATAGCACTGCACATACACCTACGACCACGCCTACAGCTACGGCTACGACTACGACTACGACAGTTACGCCTCAACGCACTACACCAGCTCAACCCGAACGGACTCGCCGGGCTTCAATCGACTCGGAGGCATCCGACTTGTCTTTCTCTTCGATTGATTCCCTGTCAACAACGTCCGAGCTCAGCGCCTCTGATCTGGCCACGGTCCGCGCGCAGCTTTTGTCACTGAACGACCATCACGACCGGGAGTTGTACGAAGCCGCCGTGGGTCTGCGGCGTCAGCTTGACGTTCTACAGCAGTCGCGACGCCAGAACCGTACATCTGGACGAAGCGGCTGGCGCCACGGCTGGAGGCGATGGGACTCGCCAAGCGAGCAGCACCAGAAGCAGTCAGACAAGCGAGCAGTCAAAGAGGAGACCCGAGCCACGCGGAAAGCATTTCGAGATGTATTGCGTCGAGCGCGAGAAGAGCAACGCGAGAAGCGGCGGCTTAAACGCACCCGCCGGCGTCAGGAGCAGCGAGCACGTGAGGTGCAGAGGGATGGTACTGAGATGCCACTCGAGCAGCACATGCAGCGATTGGAGCTTGACACTAATCGTGAGAGCCGCTCGACAGTGCAGTCTTTCACCTCCGTTCCATCCCCGGCGCGGTCCTTGACCGAATCGGATAGTGAAATCAGTTCCATCAGCACACCGAGCACATCAAGTAACGAGAAGATGCCGGTCAAGGGGAAGAGCGAGAAGTCGGCAATCGAAAGGAAGCCGTGCAAAGAAACAGAGAAGTCATATGAGAAAGACAAGAAGGGCTCCGATCAATATAATCGGGGGGCGTCACGGCGCAATTAGTGGGCCATGGCCAGGACATTATTACTTGGATTATTTTATGGAACGATGCATGATCATAGCGGTGTTTATATTCATGGAAAGAGACTGGAATTGGGATTCTCTTATGTATTTATTACTTCCTTTATCATACCGGCGTCAACCCGGGGTACAATGTGGTCATTAGCATGCATTTTCAACATGAATCTAGAACCATGCACCAATACCAAGCAAGACCCAAGACCAATCAGGATCTACCAAAAACCATCGTATAACATCTATTTTATACAAGAAAGACAACCCCCCTCTTTTCCCCCGAACCTAGAACCATTTTATAAAAAGAGAGAGTTACTGAGAAGAAGCCTGCGCCTCATTCTTCTCAACCAAGTCCCCAACACCCAACCCACGCCCAACCTTCACCTTGACCATCTTCTCAGTACTTTCCTTCTCCTCCTTCTTCCCCAACTCACCCACCTCATCACCCTCATCCGCATCCTTCTCATCTTTCTCCGCCCGCTCGCGATCCTTCCGCTCAATCTCCGCCCAATTGATAAACATGCCCGACAGATCCATGCGCATCGCATACGCATCCTCCCCATCCGCATAGTACTTGCTCTCCACACTATCGACCTGGAATCCGAGAGTATCGCGGTAAAGATGCAGCGCCGCTTTGTTGGATACGCGCACGTGCAGGGACACGTATTGTGCGCGGTGGCATTCGGCCATTGCGCGTTCTATACCCACAGAGAAAAAGAAAAACCACATTAGCAATTTACCCCAACAACATAACAAAGCAAACTCAAAGAAAGAGATATATAGATAGAATAGAATGAAATAAGGGAGGGAATCATACGAGACATCCTCATCAACCTCTCCGCAATCCCCAAGCGTCTATGCGTCCTCATCACAGAAATACTCGTGATATGTCCATGCGGCACCCCATCCGTCGGCTCCTCCTCCATCTTCGCCAACACGTACCCCACTACCTTGGGGTATTGTTCTGCGGCACTGCCGGCTCCTTGTCCTCCTCCATTCTCGGTGGTGGTGGTGGTATACTTGCTGTAGCCGTTCTTGGGCCGCACCACGGCCACGAAGGATAGTTGGGGCCAGGTCAGTGCATGGTACAGGTAGTATTTTAGAAAGTAGTTCTCGGGGAGGTTGGTGATGTTGCAGGTTTGGATCGAGGGTAGGAGGTCGATGTAGGAGGGGTAGCTGCTGAGGGGGAGGATGTCGACCATTTTGGTTGGATTGGGTATCTCCCAAGGGAATTGATTGGTCGGGTGTGTAGGGGGGAGGGCGAGAGTGGGAAATATAAGGGGGGGATTGGGGTAGGTGGTTGGACCCCGCGGTATTGGTTGATTGAGTAGCTTGTTGTAGTAGTAGTCTACTGTGTAAAGTGTGGTGATGATATTGAGGGCGGAGTTGGTTTGGTGGTGGTGGTCAGCTGAGTGGGCGCTAGCTGGTTTGGGTTAGGGGCATCGGAGTTACTACTTTGTCGACGGAGTATATTGGGAGCTATCGATGCAGCTACATAGGGCTAAAGAAACCTGTTCATGAATTTAATTAAACCACTAGGTTCAATTCTAACTGTACAGTCGTGAGTCATAATATAAGTGTATCCCACAACTCCAAACTCCCACTATATACGCTCGGAGCAACACTAAAATATCGATACCATATACTGCACTCCCGCAATCAGAAGCAGCGTACTCATCACACTCACCCCAGGCATCACGCTCGTCGCGGCAGATGCTGCGCCGCAGCATTTCCCATCCCAGGTCACGTTGTTCATCTCGGCGGCCACCGCGAACACGGACCCGTTGAAGTTGCCGTAATTGTAGTAATCCACCAAAAGGAAGTTAGGCGGCCGGTCCCACATAGCTATGAGGTAAAGAGGTTAGCATGTTACACAGACCACAGTCAGCTGTTACTTACCCGTGCAGTTGCGGGCCATCTTTCCCAGACTACCGTAGCCGGAGACCGCGTTGGTCTGGTTGAGCGAGGCAGTATTGGGGATCAGCAGACTAATGCTGGCAATATTGATGTCGAGATTCAGGTTGTGGTTGGCCATGTACATCCGGTCTTTGGCGTCCTGCGCGGACAAGTCCGGCGGGCGCTGCTCTGTGCAAGGAAAAGCTGCGTCCGTGGGCGAAAACGGCGTCTCCCACATCTGCGAAAACTCATCCATGAGCCACGGGTAGGCCGTCTGATTGGCCTGGTAGTCCATGAAGACAACGGCTCGCTTGCCAGACAGAATCATACTGGACATCGTAGGCCAATCATCCAGCGCCATTGGGATCTTCGAGGGTGTAAACACATAGTCCATGAGGCCAGAGTTCTGGATAGGACCCGTGAAGTTGCCGGGGTCTACATAATCATAGTTGCCTATCAAGATGGTGACCACGTCATATGGATGGGTTTTCACCCATTTCGTGACCGTCGTCAGGTAGTCTTCCAGAGGTCCCATGTTCAAAAGGTCGCAGCTGGTGTGACAGAGGTAGAGGGTGTTGTTGACCAGGTGTGTTTGAAATTGCACTGTCCGGGGTGTCAGCAAGATTCTATCCACAGGCTAAGCTTCGTCGATCGGGCAACTTACGCATCCGTATCCCATCGTCCAGCTGAGCGGTGACGTCCAACGCCTGGTTGGCGGCCGCATTGCCTGGCTTGACAAACGGGCTGTTGTGGGCAGCAACCATGGTGATGTTGGAGTACTTGCGCGCGCAAAACTCCGCGTGGCCATTGCAAGGCTGTGTGTTGACGACCGGAGTCGACGATGCAGTGGACGTCGCTGTTGTAGTAGCGTTGGTGCCATTGACTCCACCAGTCTGTCCGCCCACCAGCAGTGTGAGAGATTGCGACGAAGAAGTCACCGTCGTGGTGAAATTCCCGGATGCTGTTGTAGAGTTGGAGGTGGTTGTCGCGGAGTGCGCCCCGGTGCTCGTGACGGTATGTCCATTGTCGAGGGTCATAGTGGTAGTGTAGGAGAGGTAGTGGCCTGTGGGCAGCGTCGCTTCACTGATGGACGAAGTGACGGTCCCCTCGAGAGTCAGGCCGCCATTGTTGCCGGTCGTGGTGGTGGTGGTGGTGCTATCATCTTGTGCCAGAGAAGGCCAAACGCCCACTGCCAGGAGCGGCAGTAGGTGAGCGATCAACCGCATGACAAGAGGTGGTCTGGAGTCAAGAGGCCGGTCTGTGGAGGCTCGGAGGTTTTGGATATATATACAGCAGTGTATCTGTCCGAGGAGGACCACACGATGCGATCAGATGCACCAGATGGAGCACCAGATGGATCAGGACCCTGAAGAAGCAGAATAATCACCGGGCGCGGAATGATGTCTTACGATGAAGTCAACCATGGATGCTGGGCTGGTAAGGTATTTTAGGTAGGTAAGGTAGGTAACAGGTATTGTTACCACGCAGGGTTTCCCGCCTTCAGGGTACTGGCTTACTTTAGGGGGGCCGATCCCGGCAGCCATTGGTTGCCACCCCCCCTGACTGTCCGCCCCGCTGTCCCGGAGAGGAAAGCTCCAAGCTGGCCAACAGCCGATCTTAGCCTGGATTTCACTGGCAGATCGCCCGCATGGAAAATCCTCCCAATCCTTCCGGCCAATTAAATTATTTCATCAGCCCAGGCAGCCAGAATTGAAAAAGACACCAAGGGTGGGGCCCACCTGTCGATGACGTTGTTTGAGCCAGTCTTGGCCAAACAGTCACTGACAGAACCGATTTGTTGCCGAAACGCCAGAATAGGCAGTGACTTTTAATTCCAGGCCTGCTAGTCTTTCTTGGCGAGTGGCTCCTGAATGTCGTGAGAATTGCCAGATCAGCCACGATCCCCACTGCATTGGGTAACCGGGAAAAACCATCAGCGGCTAACTCATGCCAATCATCACTGTATTCCAGCCCATCACCAGCCACGAACTGGGGTGGTTTTGGTGCTGGTCAACGGCGTCCACGCAGTAACAGCCCCTCGATCAACGGGGGTGATTGCTGTACTTACTTCAGATTACTTCAGAGCAAGGATAAAATCTGCTCATGATCGGCCTTCTCCACTGTCTCGTCCACAGTCAGACTGCCGCCCAGGAGGGGAAAAGAGGCAGGGCAAGGAAAGTTCCTGCCACCATCGCAAAAATGTTCCCATCAGGGTCTAGACCAGCGCCGCTGCTAAGAATACCTGCTGCGGCCCTGAGACTGAGACTTTCTCCCTGAGTAAGATTATTGAAGCCGCCAGCGTTACGGCTCGTGTGAAATTCTCGTTGTTGTTTTTATTATTATTGTGATTATTGTTTTGATTTTATTTTCTACTCCCCATTTATTTTATTCCACATTTTCTCATTCTGGTTGGCTGCCAAGGCGTCTAACTTTTTTCAACCTTAAAGCCCAATTCAATTCCACGGCAGATCAGATCAGTTCGGTAATATTCAGTCATCCATCTGTGTACTGAGTATACGTCGCTCTCGCCATCCACTTTGCTTTCCCTTTCCCTATTCTTTTCCCCCCATTCCCGCCATCTCTTCCTGTTCCTCGCTCCCCTTTTTTTTTTTTTCTTTCCCAATCTCTGGTTTTCTTCTCCTGGATGTATCCCCAGCTTCCTCTCCTGATCCCGTCAACCTAATCCCGTGGTTGCCGGTGTTTCCCTCCCCGCTGGTCCTTTCTCTCTCTCTCTCCCCAGCGAATCCTGGCACGTGGTTCACGGGGGGCGTAAACGTCATCCAGTCGATGTCTTCCCAGATTTCTTCTATACTACGTATTAGAATTTAACTAGACGCCCTGCTCTTGATCTGGGTCTCTTTCTACATCATCTCCATCCATCTTCTCCTCTATCCTCTTCGTCTATTCTCCGACTCCATTATCCGCAAATTCCGGACCTGCCCTCTCCACCACCACGTGCTTGACAGCGGTCCATGGCAAAGCTGCCCCTGTTCAGGAAAGCTCCTGGACGTCCGCAGGTCGGCCGGAGCAGATCGAAGGTGCTCTGGCATCGTATCCTCCGTTCCTTCTGCTATCTCATCGCTTGGATCTTCCTGATCTTGGTCTGCATTGGCAATGTCGCCGATAAGCCCGTTCTCCGACAGACCTACTTCCTCGAGATCAACCTAGCGAATATCATCCCATTGTCCACCCCCAATGCGGTCCTGATCGATACCATTGCTCGCACGATCGGTCTGCACGACTTTTATCAGGTGGGACTATGGAATTTTTGCGAAGGTTATGAGGACCAGGGCATCACCCACTGCTCTTCGCCCAAACCCCTCTACTGGTTCAATCCTGTCGAGATCATCCTCAGTGAACTGCTATCCGGCGCAACGAGTACGCTCCTCCTTCTAAAATGGAAAACGTTCCCTTTGCTAACAAACCTGCAGTTGCTCTTCCTGCCAACATCACGTCGGCTCTGCACATCGCCCGCATAGCCTCACACTGGATGTTTGGTCTCTTTATCACCGCTACCGTCTTAACCTTCATCCTCATCTTTTTGTCTCCACTTGCCGTCTCCTCACGGCCTCCTCAAGCTCTTTCTTCCGACCCAGTCGTCAATCAAACCCACCCGCAACATCGCCGTCGAACCTTTGTGCTTCTCCGTTCTCTTCCCTTCCTCATCCTAACCTTCGTGACCGCTCTCTTCACCGTTGTTGCCTCCGTCGTCGCAACCGTCATGTTCATCATCTTCCGCAACGTCTTCACCTCCGCCAGCGAAGATCTCAACATCGACGCCTGGATCGGCACGCGCATGATGGCTTTCATGTGGGTCGCCTCCGCCTTCAACCTGATTGCCTTTATCCTCCAGCTTGGCTCCTGCTGTGCCTCTTGCTGTGGTGGCCGCAAAACCCGCAAGCAGCTCAAGCAGAATAGTGCCGGCACTGCGAGCCCTAGCAGCACAGCTTCCCCTGATGTGCGTGAGAAAGAGCATCCACACAGCCCCGCAACTACGGAGTGAGCTCTTTTTTTCCTATTCCAGACCACATATGCTCTCGCAGATTGTGGTCCCTTTTCCTCCTCATCCAATACCCCGAGATTCATACCCCGAATGAGGAAATTCGCCTGTACGACGATGATAAATAGAACATAAAGGTGTGAGCATCGCAGGGGCCCGCCAATATATACTGATCTGGCTATGTATACTGTACGTCTTTCTTTTTCGGTTTCCCATTCCGGTTCGGGTTATGCTGTATAGACGCGATGGATATAGATTGGGGCATATCCAACTTAGACGGGATTCGGTTTTGGGTCTGAGTTGAGCTTGTGGTTGCCTTGCTTCCTCTTTGATACATTGGGAAGGCGCTGCACATGCCATCCAGCTTGCATAGGTTACGATTTTTACGACTCTGTTATGTTATTACGAGCGTGCGTATGCTAAGAATTCAATCCAGAGGAATATATATCTGAGTTGAGAACTGTAATTCATTCGGGTGCTCAGTACTGTCTTGGTATCATCGTAGTGTCGTAATTCGAGCGATGGTAGTAGAAAGGGTACTACTGATCGCCATAATATACGTCTACAGTACTCGGCCCTGCTGCCTACACTGGCATAGGAGCCCAATTCAACTCTGAATCACCAATTACCCCACTTACTAGTTGGGCTCTAGATGAGTGGAGTGGAATTCAATCTGAGTCTGAGTATGCAAGTAGGACTAGAAACAGCTGCACTAGAGAGGGGCAGCGACAGCGAATTTGACAACCTTCGATACGTCAATATAGGGTGCCGGAGGCAAAGGAAACCATTTTCCCATGGAGGGTTATTCTTGGGCGTTGTGGTTCTGATAGAGAAAAAGAAGGAAAAAAAAAAAAAAAAAAAAAAAAAGGGCGGCTAGCACTTTAGACGGAGAGTCTATTGGAACCCCATATAACACATCACGAGTAGAATCGCATACACACAGTAGCCTGAGGCCTACCTCCGACTGTTTTGTAATCACTTCTATCGATCGGTTTATACTGGCTATTTTAGGCGGTACATCTTTTATTGCTATTGAATAACCTTGCAAGTAGCTCTAGATGTGGTGCTAATCATCATATAAGTAAGGAGTACTACTTATACTTCCAAACAATCACATGGCAAAGACAGCCATATTGTATATTGTCGAAGCACTAACCGCTAGACCAGAAACGATATATCGCTGCTAGTCAGCCAGGCGACGGAGAGATATCTGTTCCAACATAAATCATCTACTAAGTCTTCGCAGAACATCCAAAATACTTATTTTTATTCAAAGACGGTCTTGAGTCTTCGAGGTTAAATGATTGGTGTCTACCAAACTAACTAAGCGCCATCCTTCGACCATGCCACACGGGGCATGCATCGGCGCTGTTCAGCGGTGTTCCATTCATTAGTAATTGGTACGTGCCTCGAGCTGAGGCGTTCGTATCAATCTATGTTTGATGAGACATAAAGCAAAAGGAAGAGCAAAAGGCAATCTTAATTGTAGTTATCTTTTGTGTTATCTAGATACATGTAGGAAAGCAAAGGAAGAAGACGAAGTACGGATCGGAGGGGGGTAGGAGGCGTTCTTCCGATCGGGAAGGCACGCTGCAGTGATGCTTGACTTGAGGGTTCGATTTCCCCTCGTTGGAGTCGTTTGATCCGTTACATTGGCCTGGACACTGTACTACTACTATAAGTGCGTACTGCATAGCAGTGGTTGATATGTATATAATCTCTGGGGTGCAACAATACCTACTTTGGGCGAGCAACATTGAAAATAAGGCTTTTGACTAAGGTGGACTATATAGACCACCTACGCAAAAACAATTTGTCAGACCTGAATCTCCCCACCTCACCCGTTTCCGGGCCGCTCTGCGCGAGGCCCTAAATGGTGATGGTGAAGGAATCTTCATATGCCTGAAAAATTAAATAAAGCCCCTGGTGGGGGTCGAACCCACAACCTTAAGATGACCTACTGGTAGAAGTCTTACGCGCTACCGATTGCGCCACAAGGGCTACTTGTTGAAAATAGGGAATAGGCAACCGGAATTTAACCTATTAGGTTGGCTAGAATTGGAGTGTATTTTCTTCTCGCATATTTTTCTCCTCACCTCCCCCAAAAAGGTGCCTTTCTTTCTTGACAGTTACCCGTCGGATCTACTCTCCACTTATTAAAAGATGTATTTCACTTTTTGCGGACTTCTGAACCAGCTTACAACTCTAAGAGCGAAAGAGCCGCACAACTACCCCTTCTCAGATGGATCTCAATCATTTTGAAACATTCTTCGGACTATCCTCAACCTGGGCCGTAAGTACATCAAAATCACACGACTTACACGTGGCACTCGGCGAAGCCAACTCTTGCTCCATCATACGAGCCAAGTCATCGTCGTTGTCCTCCACCCGATCGTCTGACGCAATCTCGCTGATGTCTCTTATTGGTACGTGATCGTTCCGGCTCCGTTCGGAGTCGTGAGGCCCACCCGCGGGTTTTAGAGATCCTTGTCGAGGCGCTGGGGTTACACTGAGGCGGAGGTTTTGATTGCCGACGCCTCCGTCCGCATCACCAAGCCAACTGTACTTTTTGTTCCGCAGTGACTGAAGCATCTCCACGCGTCGTTGACGCTCTTCCTGTTCTTCTGGGGTTGGATTCGCTGCAGCTGACCCGTCATCGCCTGTTTCTTCGGTCAGGTCGATTGTGATAGGCTCCCCAGCAGATGCATTTGGTGTTGTCATGGATTGTGGCTGTGAGGTCGACAGTTGTAACGAGGTTGCGTTTGAGCTAGCCTGGCGTGCCCGGGGAGGTTTGTATCCAGTTGGAATCGGGGCAACTGCAGGCATTTGCTTCTGAACTTGAATCTCATATAGTAGATTGTTGTAGATAGTGCCGAGATCATGAAGCTTGTTCTTCCACTCGATAGCCTCTTGCTTGTACTGCTCGACTCTTTGTTGATGCCGGGAGCACACACGTCGCAGCATGGCATTCTGCTCAAGTAGTGTCTGTTGTTTTGTTTTACCAGTCGCCGGATCCATGGCCGTCAGGTCCGACGCCAGTGCCCACTCCTGTTTATACTTGTTGCGCTCCAGCGTCAGCTGCTGTACCTTATTCCGCAGAGTCGCAAGGCGCAAGTTTGTCCGATCATCCGAAACTTCGATGCACCTGACATGGATATTCGGAGCTGACGGCATATATCCCAATGGGCCCCCATAAACTGGATACGGCGAGACGTACTCTGGCTCGGCAAACGCTCGCTGCAGAGCTTCGCGGTTTGTGCTGTCGACGATGTCTTGATCATCAAGAGAGAATCGTTCCTTGGTAATCTCGCTGACGGAGGGCAGATCGAAGGATTGGTCAAACACACTAATATTCGCTGACATGTCTTCTTTGCCTCCTTCACCATTACCCGCGCCCTGGATGTCAAAGTTGGAATAAACCTCGCCATCAGGGATGTCCAATGAAAAATCGCCCAAATGGTCTTCAAATAGAAGGTCTATAGAGTCGAAGACGGCATCGGACTGTCGTTTCTCAACATCGCTTGGCGTATGAGGGCCCGTGCCTCCTTGTTCAGGTTGTCCAGAATCTAGTGATAATAACGAGGGTGTTTTATCCGGAGACTCTGTGGTTGAATATTGGGACATCTCTGTGGCTTGCCTTTTTCTAGATTGGTCCCAGTAGACACAATCTTCCGGGAACGCCTCGTCGCCATTTCGCTTCCGCTGCAAGACTGCATCAATCTCCTGCAGAACAAGTTCGGAATCGAAGAGAGTGTCGTACAACTCCTCTGTGACGTTATTGGAATCGTCAAATGCCGAAAAGTCTATCTCTAATTGTGGAGAAGAGGTCGCGGTATCTGCCCACGACTGTCGGGACTTGACCACCTTGTCGGCCGGAGGTTGTTCTTCTGAGGATGCATCATTGACTTCCACTTGCTTCTCGTCGTTGTGATCTTTGTGGGTATTCCCGAGCGGTTGTGCGGCGTGTCGCGGATCGGCTGGGGTTTCTGACGTCGCGTTCACATCTCTGGTCGGCAGTTTCCGTTTTTCATGTTGGGAGGACTTGGTGGAAAGCTGCAGCTGGGACCCAGGGGGAGGTGTAAGCCCCAGATCATTCACGTGCAGAGAAGGCAGTGATGGGGGAGATGGAAGGCCCTCAAGATCTTGAAGACCATGAGGGTCTGGAGGACAGGTCTGGAGAGAGGTAGAAATACCTTCAGCCATGCTTCCATTCATCCCAGCGACAAATTCAGGCCCAGTTCGGAGACGGCCAAATGAATGTGTATCGTGCTATGCCGTTCGATATTTCCTAAGGTGGCGATGGCACTTAGGAGATGAAGCGCTCCATTTACTCATAGCCCAGCTCTGCAGATGGTAAGAATGAGGATATCCCTCGCTTCGAGACTGCTGTGAAGCGTACCTCTTGAGAGCAAGTATTGAGATCCCAAAACGACTGTGAAGACTTGTCCCGCAGGAAGTATGTACGGGAAGTAGATAACAGGGAGAGCCAGCAGGTGCCTCAAATCAATAGCTTGTGAGCAGGCTCAGGCTAGCCACTGGATACGCGCCCTATTGCATAATCCGGTTTGAGTGCAACAACTGTACAGTTTGGCCAATGTTGGGGGAAACGAGATACCACACACGTCCAGGACGCTCGATATAATTCCCAAACGAGTGAGAATGAACAGAAAAGGCCGGGTCAGGACAGTCACGCAGAAGTAAAGAAGCAAAGAAGTACGTCGCAGTAGAAAAGATTCCTATTCCGTCTAAATTTAATCCGAGATGATGTTCTCCGCCTTTCACACCGCCCTCTGGACCGCTCACGTGCCCCACATAGTGTCCGGCGCCAAGCTGGGCGGCCGTGGCTTTAAGGCCGGCAGGAAGCTGACGGGCACCGCATCTGCTTTACTTTAGTAACTGGCGACTCCCGATTCCCCGTCCCTCCTCGCCTCTTCAGCGTCCTTGCTTCTGGGCTCGTCTACAACCTTCAACATGAGCGTTATACTTTGCACTGGTATGCAGTTCTCTCAGCGCTAACCAGTCTCTAACATCTAGTGTCTGTCCTGGGAAGAATTGACTGACCAATGTTCTATATCGTGATTTACAGCGGGCTACGACCACACCATTCGGTATGTCAGACTGTGTTACTTGCGCCCCGAAAGTTGACGTCGCTAACTTGGCCCAGTTTCTGGGAGGCCTTGTCGGGGATTTGCTCGCGCACTATACAGCATCCCGATTCCCAAGTTAATCGCTTATGCATCACCCCCGACAAACGGTACTTGGCAGCCGCCGGCCACAATAATGTCAAGCTGTATGACATCAAATCTACCAATCCCAATCCGGTCATGACCTTCGACGGCCATACAAACAACATCACCGGCGTCGCGTTTCACTGCGAGGGAAAGTGGATGGTCACCAGTTCGGAAGATGGTACGGTTAAAGTCTGGGATACCCGTACAGGTAGCCTGCAGCGCAATTACGCGCATAAAGCTCCAGTCAACGACGTTGTAATCCACCCCAACCAGGGCGAGCTCATTAGTGGGGATCGCGCTGGTATTGTCCGGGTTTGGGACCTGGGTGAAAGCGTCTGCACTCACCAGCTGATTCCTGAGGACGACGTTGCTGTTCATAGTGTTAGTGTCGCAAGTGATGGATCCCTGCTCTGCGCTGGAAATAAAAAGGTGAAAAAGACAATTACTCGCCGCTTGTCTTCATCACTGACTTTGAGCGACCGGCCTATAGGGTAATGTCTACATCTGGCGCATGATCCAAGACGCTGAGATAACGCGCATCGTTCCGATATGTACCTTCCAGGCGCACAAGGACTACCTCACTCGCGTTCTTCTCTCCCCTGATGTCAAGCATCTCGCAACGTGCTCCGCAGACCACACGGCCAAAGTATGGAACCTTGACCTTGATTATCCGCCGGCCAAGATTGCCGCCGCCAATGCCGCCAAGGCCAAGGCCAGAGCCATCTCTTCACCCGAATCGAATGACAGCCCTTCTTCCCCGGAATCTACGCAACACGTGAATCACGCATCCCCCAACGGCACTGACTTTGAAGCCAACCCATTCAGTCTCTTCCAAGCAGCGACACCTATAAACAACGAACCCCAGCAGACCTTCCCTGTACAACCGGACGGACCCCCCATGGACTCCGCGACAGGATCACTTTTCCTAGAGACCACGCTTGCAAATCACCAACGGTGGGTCTGGGATTGCGCTTTCTCCGCTGACTCTGCGTATCTCGTCACAGTATCCAGCGACCACTACGCCCGCCTATGGGAGCTGGCTTCGGGTCAGATCATCCGTCAATACAGTGGTCATCACCGCGGGGCGGTATGCGTAGCGCTGAACGACTATTCCGAGCCGCGTTGAGAGTTGTGTCTTACATTATGAGGCTGCCTAGAGGCAGATGTATGCGTCTTTCAACCTTCTTCTTTTTCAGTTGTCTTGTATGGTTCAGGGCTAATGGTCAGCATGGTGCTTGGTTTGGGGTTGTGGCACGAAGGCGAATCGCCTACTGCATTGGAGTTCAGGTTTTGCTTGATTCCCTGTGTTGTGTTATTGGATGTTAGCAAGTAATCCTGGTTCGATATCCGTATATGCATGAGTTTATTGTATGACCGATTTCATGGTTGTAATTGTTTTTAGTCATCCATCACCATTCTCTACATACATAAAGCTTTCGGCGACTGTCGAGGCAGTTCACTGGTATATGACCCATTCCTAAACCGTTCAAGTTCGGGATGAGCATCATTTCCAGTACCGATATAGATATACCGTCTTGGGATCTGAGCTATCTCCTCTAATGACTTTTTCTCCAGAACATCCACCAAGGTGTTTGCCTTGAATACCATACCACCACCTGAATTTTTTGCATAGTATATTACTTCACGACCAAAGGAATCATGGTATCTAACCCGGAAGGCTAGACGGAGAGCCGGATCGTCATGATCTTCAGAGCCTGAAATTGCATATAAATTTGTATGCGTTTCTCCCAAAGGACAGAGCTCTATTTTTATGAAGATTTTGTTATCCCTGATATCCATATCATGCGGGAATATAATCTCACAATAGTAGATATAGATGTGGCGCCTGACCTGTTCTTTCAGCTGATAGCTATATTCAGTATTTCGGATGTCTGTGCTTTGCCACATAATATTTTTCACACTCTGCCGCTTTTTATCACTGAACTCAGTGACAGCAGACTGTACTGCAGTGCCATCGACAGGGTCAAGAAATCCTTCACTTATAACCTTAGCTGTAAGGCTTTGAAGGATACTTGTGGAAGCTTCGTAGTCCCCATTCTCTGTCTCAGCTGGACTTTGCCTTCCTGCTGCATCCGCCTGAGACTCTTGACCCTGTAGCTGCGAAAAGCATTTCAATGCTGTGATAGACTCTGGATCAGCGGATGGCACATCATCTCCTCCTTTGTCAGTGTTGATAGAGTGCCTTGTCTCGTCTCGAGATCGTGATGACTCAGCATGCAGTTGAGACAATTGGCCCTCATAATTTGTTTCGCGCTCGCACAGACGCTTGTGAACGAAGTCTCCCATTTCCTGATATTGTTCCACGTTGAAAGGCTCGTGAACTCTCACTCTTTCAGTGACTCTTCGACTAGGATGCGAACTTTCTTTGGGTTTGTCCCCATCACTTTTTGGTCTTCTTGGAAGAAAATTCAAAGACCATTAAAAGACCACGAGTAAGTGAGCCACCAATTCTCTCAATTTCTCTTATGTCTTCAAGTTTGGCCATGTTTTTTCTGGCTAGCCAGAGCTGGACACCCTCATCCACAGTATCAGCAGTTAGAGCTTCTCCGCCGAGTCTTTCCTTCCTTGCGTGTCGCAAGATATAGCCGACAATACTGCTGTTCTCACAGAAGAACGGCCTGATATCATGTTTTAGCGATGGGATGAAGTTCACTGCAAATCTAAGAGCCTCGCTTATCTTGATACTATGAATTGCGCTAACAGACCAGATCTCTGCGGGTAGAGGAGGGCAGCAGATAAAAAGACGATTCCGGACAGTATCGCGATAGAGTGGATAGTTAAATCCACGTAAAGAAAGGGTATGTCGCGAAGGCGCCACAATAGCTCGTATAAGCTTTTCAGATTGAGGACCGCATAGGAAAACAATCTTAGCTAGGCTGGTTGCAAGAACAGTTTCATGGAATTTTCTGGTAATAGGTTCTGTCAGGATATCATGACCGAGATGCCTAAGACCTATACTTGCAAAATTTTTAAAGTCACAGGTCCAGATGAGGATATTTTTTGCAGTGAATCCGCATCCATCCAGTGACCATGGAATATCAAGTGTCTGCTGGTTACTGTCATCATCACTACTAATCCTCATGGGCATATCACTTGCCCCAGAAACAGCAGCATAGTCAAGGATCGCAGCGACCTCCGAGGTTAAACTACCACAAAACGGTATATGAGCCAAATCTTCACTGGTCTCAAGTTTTTCTTGTTCTAGCTGAAGCGAATCTTTGACCATCTTGAAGATGCCTTCATCATTGTCTAGGGCAAGTTGCAATGCCTTGTCAAAATCGATGTGGAATATGGCCCGATTGCTTCCCTTCATATCTCTCTGTTTTGCAGTAGCTGACTTCTGTCGTGAGTTGAAAACTGCCCAGTGCTGTATTTGTGGGTCCGGTGCCTTGCTGGGACCAATATTTGCCTTAGTCCGAAGTTCCTTAGTCAAGGCTGCATTACCCTGTACAAGTGGTGACATTATATTAAGGCCCCATCCCAAGCCAGAGGTTGAAGATTCGCCATTAGCCCAGTGTTCTGAGCTCAGTCGATTTAACATCCCATGGTGGGTCCGGAAAGCTTTGCAGAAAAGGGCTTCAAGTAGATTACTGCAGGCTTGATACCACACATCATTCACAGTGTCCTTAGGGAAACCCCAAAGCTTGATAAACCTGGCATATCGGTGACCATTCCCTATCCACAAGCTGAAGTAGAAGAGGCTTGATGTTGATCCTTTCATAATTTGTTGAGCATGCTGACATACAATTCGTCTCCATGTTGAGGAGCATTGGCCTACATATAGCCTCCACCATGCTGTATTTCGATCGTCATACACAATGCTCGCATACCCTGAGGGCATGTTCCAGGGCTCGTTGTTGTTGAGTTGCTGGGAGAAGATTGTGTCTAGCGTGTCTTTTGTCACTTCGTTGCCTTGCAGCTGGATAATGCATGGGTTTACGAGCTGGATGAGATACTTGGTCACCGCGTCCACGCCACCATGTTCATCAATAACATTGGAGTAGTTGCAATGCGGTGAAGAAGATCCAGGAAGTAATCCCTGCATTATGTCACTTATCATTTCACTGCATAATTCCTCAAGGTAGGGAAAGATGAACCCTCCTTGCAGTGATAGCTTCTAAGGCTGGTTAATACTAATAATAATAAAGCCTAGTAATCATTTACTTACATCCCTTATAACCTCATCAATGTTAGACCATCTCTTGTCAAGATGTTGAGGTGACTGAACAGAAATGTTCAGGTTTACTGAAGTGTGATGGCCGGACGTCCTCTGTCTCTTATGCAAGATTGACTGCAATGTCGAGCTGCTCTGTCTCTTGGAAGTGACGGAGAATATTCTATCTTGCGTGAATACGTCAGGACTTAGGCTCGAGCCCATGCCTAAAGCTTCCCGACGGGGTCAGCAGATCTGTATGGGTGGCAAGTGCTTTTTTACTTTCTTCGTGGCAGCGTACAATGGGTTTTCTTTGGGCAGACATGCTGATGGTGCCCTTTCGTTTTGCAACTTCGGCACGTAACTCTCGTGCAGTTGATTATGTTGTGGTCCTTCTTGCAATAAACGCAAGTCTTATTTGTGGGGCAGTACTTGCTGATGTGGGCCAAGGACTTGCAGTAACGGCAAGCTTTCTCTGGATTATATGACATGACCTTGAATCAGTCAGTTGTGAGCTCCACTGTATGTGGACACAGAGCGATTTGCGTGTTGTTTCCTGGTGTTTGCCTATGTGATTTCAGTAATGAGAGTCAAGATGTTAAGATCGTGGGAATGTACTAACAAGTTGGGCTCACCAATCTTTGCTAGGGAGACAAACAAGTAGGCTCAAGAAGGCACGCCACTAGTTTGGGTGGTTTGAGATGAGATGCCCGGTGAAACTTGAACACTCTAGGAACCTTAGAAGCGTCACTAGGAGTGAGTTACAAACGTCTCGGGAGTGCGGCGATTAACAGCAATATTCAAAGTAAAATCTACGTGATACTTGGGACCGCCACCCAAAGGGCCACTCAAACGGCCATCTAAACAAGGTATCTTTAAGTCAAACGGCTTTCCAAACAGGTGGAATTAATAGACCTTAATTAATCAAACTTCTTCATGAATTTTTTCCTGCATTTTAACCGTAGATTCAGACGTCTGCAAGATTATCAATAAGGCCGGTTTAGAAAGCTGTTCAAGAATTTATTCAGATGACTGCTTGGGAAATTTGTTTAGGTGATCATTTACATAGCAGTTTGTATGACTGCTTGGAGAGCTGTTTGAATTATCACAACTACTTGGATAGCTGTTTGGATAATTTCACGTCTCCATTAGACTATGGGGGTAATTTCATTTTTTTCCCCCATTTTTGATGCGCTCCATGTATGATTGGTATAGAGAAGTAAATGATGATATGATTCCAACTTTCTTCCTCTCTTTCCTTCTCCCCCCCCAATTTCCTTGGTACATTATTTCCGAATGACCTCCAAGGAAAATTCCACTTTGCTTTACTCCGACACATCCTATATTGCATTATTATAATGGCACACAGATCTACACAAGCTACCCCGCTCAGCTAGAGCCCGCCTATCGTGGTGAGAGTTTTTCTTCTTTGTCTTACTTTACTGTATATATATATTCATATATATGGTGAGCTGCATCTCCACGCCAGTGCAGGAAGCAGTTCTGATAAGTTACTGACGTGTATGGATTGAAACTATATTATGGCGATTGGCAGCACCATTTCAATTTCTATCGGCCGAATTACAAGACATAACAATACTTATGGTGTCGCTGAGCATGATATATTACCTCAATGAAAGATATCTGGAAGGATCACTTGTTTTACAAATTTCTTTTGTGTCTTTTATATACATGGAGGCTTTTCTCACACGCCTTTTTGTTATCGGATCTCTGGCATTGATTGCAGTTAGTGCGAGCTAGAGTATCGTAAAATTAAACAGATCATTCACCAAGGAGGCCCTTGTGGCGCAATCGGTAGCGCGTAAGACTTCTACCAGTAGGTCATCTTAAGGTTGTGGGTTCGACCCCCACCAGGGGCTTTATCTATTTTTTTCAGGCAGATACAGATTCCTTCACCATCAGGGCATTGAAATCTCGCGCAGAGCGGCCCGGAAACGGGTGATTTTGGTGGGAAACTTGATGTTTTGGAGCTCTTCTATCTGAACTCTACGTATTGTCAAACAGACTCTATGGATAATACAACCTGTTTAAAAAGAAGATATCTGAAAGCTGATCAACTTTCTCAAAACTACACTCTAATTTTCTACCATTTCGAGCTCAATGAGGGTTAGTATGTATGAGGGTAAAGTGGTTATAAGGGATTTATTTTCATTAGGGATTTATAGTGATTTTTTATCAGGTAAAATTATTCATTGGTTGAACTTAATTCTGATCAAAGTTAAACTTCATAATAACGTACGTAACTCCCGTCCGCATCGGCCACCCGCCCGCGCCGGCCACTCAGTACACCGCCCAACGCGTTTCTACATGCAACCACTCTTTCTATCAAAGGATGTGAATTAGCAATGAGTAGTACAGTAATTCTAGGGCGGTGTGCTAGGGGTGGCCGGTGCGGCCGGGAGTTACGTTATCTATCTACTTGAGTAGTACTACTATGTACTAGTACAGTACTATTGAAATTCCGGGATCAGCCAATCAACTGTGGGCAGTAGCTGCAATAAATGTAAGTTTGGGATTATGGCGACTAAGTACTCTGTGTAAGTATTGGCTTATGGACCCTCGCATAATTGGAGGTGTGCAACTTTGATTGAATGTAGTCTTTTACAAGGTAATGAATAACGGGGTTGCGCCTAATCCGGAGATGAATGTATTTTTTCCTATAATACTATATACTGTTTTCATATGATTTCTTTATTCCTCGGATGTACCTTACGTGGGTTGACGATGCTCTATTTACTGTAGCAGGTAATGCTAAGAATATGTAGAAGCATATAATTGGTATCGAACTCTATGCGAATCTGACCAGGGCCCATTTCATAAGAATCGAGTACTAAGTTAGTAAGGAGTACAGTAAATAGAACGGCGCTGATAGCAAAATAATGCAATAGAAACTAAGCAGGGGCAGATATATTCTTCCTATTTGTACTTCTTTCTGTCCGTAGACTGCTGGTAGGCTTTCCGGCAACTTGTAGTACTATATACGCAATATCAATTAGAACGACAAAGTCCACCCATCCCGTAGGAATAACTTGACACCAGCTGGCTACTTACTACACACAATCCAATGAGCAGGAAACCTAGAAACAGAAAGCCACCCACCAAATCGCATCAAATATCTCCCTTCATTTCATACAACAAACCAGCCACATAGAAAAAAAAAAGGAACAAAATAACCAAAAGACTTCAAAAAACTCCCCTTCAATTCATTACTCTATATGGAAAGAAATTCCCCAACCCATCCATCTCCAGCAAGAAACATTGAAAATCGATAACCCTCCTAACCCAGCGCAAACCACGTCACGCTAACAACAACGTCCAGACCCCGTTCCTCAGCGCCAGGATACTTGAACGTCCACATACCATCGCGATTCACATCCCAGAAAGCTCCGGACGCAGAGTGCATCCCGCGCTTGCCGGTGTTGCTGGTCGCGCCGTCAGCGGCGGCGGACTTGTCGATGAGGCCTTGTTGCACGATGGTGCTGTTCACGGTGAAGCGGTAGGGAGGGGCGGTCGAGGGAGTAGAGGGGGCGGTGGCAGTGATGAGAGCTTTCAGGATGGTGTTCTGTTGGATCGGAGTGAGTGGTTAGATTGATGTTGGAGGGGGTAGTTGTGGGGGTGGGGGAAGTAGGTACAATGATTTGAGAGTTCCAGTCGCCGACTTTGGTGTGTTCGTATTCGGTCACATCTTTGAGGGCGGTGTCGCAGGCCTATATCGGGGGTAGATTGGTGGTTAGTATTGACATAGGGAGAGACATGTAGTGGGGTTGTCGGTGGAAGTGGGAGGCCATGAATGTGAAGGTATGGGTGAACGCACCTCGGTGGCGATCTTGGTCAATTCGGGGATCGGAACGGGCTATGCGAGTCGAATAGTAAGTATATTGTAACGAGTTGTCCGTCTGGATAGGGACGCGAGAGGGGTCGGATGACGTTCGGATTGCGGGCTATCCAGGTACGAGCATTGCACGGGGAGGGTGGTGACACACCGAAGAGGGGGTAGCAGCGTCGACGGCCATTGTGAATGAAAGAGTTGGGTTTGGTGTAAGAGATGTTTTGCGTGAGACTTGAAGGCTAGCTGTCAGTGGAATTCGCGCGGGTCTGGTTGTAGATAGGGGATGTTCGTCGGGGAAGTGTTGATAACCATGGGATGCTGGAGATGCGATTGTGCGGGTAAGGACAGACAATGCGGCTCCGGGGCCGGCGAATCAAGCAACACGGGCTGATGGAATTGACAGATAAGATGGCCACTCACTCAATGCAAGATGCTATGCTATGCTGGTATGCGCGGAAGTGTCAAGGCGAGTGCGACAGCAGCGAAAGAACAGCTAGCGGGCTGGTGCTGAAGAATGAATGTTTGGGGGCTCGCCGTCGACTGGCATCATGGCTGTCGCTTTGCGCTTCTTGATTGGCCAGGACGAATACAAGGCTAGGCTGGGAGGGGTTAGTGTCCGGTCCAAGACCGGACTAGCTGATTACTTGGTTAGGATTAGCTCATCAGCTGCCATCTACCTACAATAGCAAGGCTATATATACAATTGAATTGAACTCCAGCCTTCTGCGTCCTACATTAGAGATACATGGCATGGTTAGTACATATTCACCCTGCAGATACTCTTTCTCTAAAAGGCCACTGTTTTAAGCCTACATCCGGCTATTTACTGATACACTATCATAGGTGCTGCAGAGTCGCTTCTGCTTCCTGGATTATGAAAACCATCATTCTTTTCGTGACTGATTCCAGCTTCATTTGCACATTCTATAAAGTATAGAAGAATATTCATCAAGAATCTGCATATAATCCATTCAATACTTTCTTAACTCAGTCCCCCAAGCGATTATACCATTGCAAGTTACGCAGGTCCTTCAGGAAAATTTTGGCATCTTCATGGCTATCCAGACGCTGTCGCAACAACTCTCTCCATTCAGCATCTTTACCAGTAGAATCACGGGCAATTCCAAGATACTCATACCATATGGGATAATAAGCTGCAAACTCCCAATCAATGATCCCAACGAGCTGCCCGTATTTGACCATAATATTGGAGATATTAAGGTCGCCATGCGTGAGGACATAAGGGCCGCATTCAGGGAAACGCTTCATCAATTCATCCTTTTTATTCGAAAATGCTGAAGACGATAGTTCACGGCTGATGGCATCCCGAAACTCAGAGTCAGATTGGAAAGGTCCCTGGAGCTTACCATCATCAAATACCATATCTAATGGACAGGCTCCTCCATCAATGCCTTGTATACTCGGCGAAGTGATAGACTGCAGTTGCTTGCACACGTCGGCCACCTGGTCTGCGATAGTGGCCTTTTGGTCCTTGGACAATCGCGGCCAGGCATTCTCGAGTGTCTCACCGTCCAGTTGTGTTTGCATCGAGAAGTGGTTCCCATTTTGATCAACCCAGTTACGGTCAGCTTTTGGTGCTGGGATATGGGGATGAGCTTCGAGTAGATGCAGCGCTTGACGTTCGTTTTCCAGAGATTCTTCGAACTTGGGGTGTGCTTTCAAAATCAAATCGGTGCCGATTGCCCATACGCCTCCTGCTCGCGAGCCGCGGATAAATTGGATGGGGTTATAATGCCGGCGCATCGATTGCTCCTCCAAACTGCATCCGCACTCGTCATAGCCGGTGTATGTATCGGACATGGTGTGGGTTGGTTGGGATTTCTCAGGAGTAAAAGATGAGTGGAGAGTCCTAGTTCAGTGTCAGACAAATTGGCTACGGAGACGACCAGTCCCTATTTATGTGACATGGCCCATCAAGCCATGGAGGGGTTTCGGACCGTCCATTTGTTTCCTGGCATTAAGCAAGCATTGCCCTGGAATGGAAGCGGAAGTTGCCTATGGATAGCTGTATCCTGGCTTTGGAGTGTGGCACGTACATTGGATGCCAGGGATTGTATATACACTATGCTGTGGTTAGCGTTATTGAGCAACGTAATCTCTCACCCAATGAACATAATAAACTTACTACAGTATCTGTTTAGATTAAATTTGTGTGCTCGGCTGGTACACTGAAACTATGTTTGTTTTCTCGGATGGAATTGTATAAACTCCATGTCGTTCTGAAAGGCTTCTTTATGTCCTGAATTTCCTTTGTTCAACTAAACCATTGACCAACAATGTTTGGTATTCTGTGGAGGATGTGGCCATGAAAGCTGCCCACAATGCTTGGAACGAACCGAGAATTAAGTTCAACTTTCATCTCTGCTATACATACATATCGAGATGAGCATATTCACTTTCTATATGGCCCCGTTATATGGTTCTGTGAATCACCGTTGAGCGGAGCACCTTTCGACACTCTATATTACTTTAGATTATAGGATGCAGTTAGTTGCCTGAATATCTACATTATCGTGAAGGCAACTAGTAGTACTTTCACCACAGCAAACCTTGGCTGAACAACGCCAATAGGATGCATGTCTTATTTCACCAGGTTCTTTGTTTCGATGCCTATCTGGCAGTCTATATAGATATGGAGGTAGAAGGTCAATCCCTTGAGTATTCAATCGAACCTTGCAACTCAGCAAAGATACAGCAACCATAACTAAAGCCCTACCGAGCACACACACGAATCCACACACTGTTCTATCCAATCTACACCCCTCAAACAGCCCAATAGCAACCTACAGTCTTCAACATGTCACCAATACTAAGTAAAGAACAAGTCATCCGCAGTAAGGAATATCTCAAACATCGAGACAAGATGTATTCAATCGAGAAAGACGAATTCTTTCCGCTTCTCGAGCAACGATTCGATATGTGCAACAAGGTCTGCGACAGGTCCGAGATTGAAGGCCTTTTAGAGCCTTATCGAGATGCATATCGACCAAATACCACTCCGCAAAAGATCTCGGAGATAATTCAGCTGATTGAACTATCCATCAAATTGTCCCTTTTAGAGCGGCTTCCGGTGGGTTCAAGGGATTATTATAGGGAGTTCAGCCTTGAGAGGCTGTGTGAGGATGTTACACGTCTTCATGGGGTCGTTGAGTTCTAGGTGGTGGTATGATGGGCTTTGAGAATACTTTGAGTGATACCCTTGGATTACGATATTTGCGGTATAATTAATCGATGCTACACATATTTAATACTATACACTAGAAAGTGGTAGAATTGTTATATAATTGGTTTTAAATACTGTTATCCTAACTAGAAAAAGCTTGTTTCACATATCAACGCATCTCTCTAGCTATTATAAATGTAGTCAACCACTCAACCCTAAGTCTACTCCGGGCCCTGTCCCTTAACCTTCACATACCCTCTCTTCACCTCCTCCAGCTTAGCCATCCCAGCCAGCCAACGCTGAAGAAGGGGGTAGGAATCCAAATACAGACCCCCAAAAGTATACTGCCTAACCTAGGGCTCCGCATGATAATCCACGGCGGTAATCTTTTCGGGCAGAATACTCTCTCCGTTCGACTTCTTCAACTGCCCCTCCAACACCCTGAAGCAGCGATAGACCTGCGCTGAATATCTATCCAGCGCATCCTGGTTCTTCACCTCATGGTAGTTCCTTGATATGACGTTAGCATAGAATGATTTTGGTTGTTAATTTTTCTACTATTTCGGTAGGCAGAAATACCTGAACCAATTAACCTGGCCCAACATCGGCGCCAAATTAGTGAGTAGGAAATACTCCCATTTCTCCAAGTCGACAATATCCTGCTCTTCCTTCCCGGCAGGACCTAGCTTCCCTTCGCGGTCATACACTCGGCGGATATAGTTCATGCATGCGCCGGATTCCCAGGCCACGACGCCCGTGTTCGGGTCTTGAAGGGAGGGAAGTCGACCATTCTCGTTGATCTTCAAGTATGCCTCGCCTTTGACGCCCTTTTTGGGGTCGTCGCCAAACTCCCACTGTTGGACGTCGTAGGGAACTTTAAGGGCTTCGAGAGCGATTGCGATCTTGATGGGGTTGGGGCCCGTGGCGTGGGCGTGGAGGAGTAGAGGTTTGGTCATTGTGGATAGAGACCTTTTGAGAAATGTTTGCATGTTGATGAATTTTGGATAGAGGGTATGTGCATTTTATAATTAAAATATTGTTCGAACGATGCTTTGGTTTATAAATCAAGGTTGATTGATCTAATACTATGGCAGGGCTTAATAATGCCCTTTAGGTTCTCCACTGTCTTGTTGCTGAAAACGTTGATGGAGCCGCGACTTTAAATCCCGCGGAGTTACAATTGGAGACATTATGATGGAGCCATGATTGGAGCCGGTGGAAGCAGTGATAAGTATCATCGGATCGTAATTTTTTCAAGTCAGGCCCCTGGTACTCTCAATGGCATCAGTCGGAGTAACTATATAACAATAATATTGTCGTTATTAGGCAGGAGAAAGTCATTGTCTAGATGGACATAACGCCAAAAATGGGTGCTTTACTGAATGTAATATGCATAACTTAAGCACTGGTTCCCAGTATATATCTCTAATCACAGTAGCAGCTCTATAATATTGCTCTTTTGTCCTGTTGGAATCAAGATTGTCAGAAGTCATGGAGTCCATGATCTTGTACGGATGGATACGAATTCTGACGTTCAACAAGACCCTACTCACACCCACACCCCTAGATATTTTCTCTAACCCAAACGCGCATTTTTCGATGCATAACTTAGGTAGCTGATAATATGTCCGGCAGGAAAGGTAGGTGTATAAGGCTGAACGCAGCATGAATATCTACTCCAACCATTCAAGCTGTAACCTTCTCCAACTAACGGACATTATCAACAGCCTACTCCAACTCGACCTTCCTACTCCAATTACGTCGACTCTTGCTTGAAATACTTCATTCACATCGAACCTCTATTAATTCAAGGTGAATGCAATTTTACAATATATATATATTCTACAGCATCGCTCACCGTAAATGGTCATCACCCCAGTACATGTATACTTGTACACGTAGCCCATCTAGGAGAAACCAAACTTGCACCCTCCGTCTTTCACACATTCTAGTTAATTGGAGCATGAATCAACTAGTAAGTAATATGAATATAACATACTACTTTATGCAAGTCAATTAAGCAACCACTGCAATATATGGTGCTGCCACTGAATCTTCAAAAGATACGTAACCATGACCTACAAACATGCTGGTTGAGCTAGCCCTAGTGAAATCTGAGTAAATTGCACAGATAATGCTTTAATTCGAATAGCTAAGCAGAGTATTCACATATCATCTTTCGCAGTGTCTTGAAAACTCCCATGCACTGTTTAAAGACCTCTGAAAGATCTCATGCATTCACCTTCAGGTTAATGGGCACCAGCAAAGTCAACAGCGCCATCAGCACCCGCAACTACCTGCGCCTCAGAAACCCACGTATGCTCGAATACGCGCAGAAAAAATCAGGTCTCCCACTTATACAGCATACAACCCTTCCGTTCTTACGACAGAAATAGCCAACAGGAACCAAATCACATCAGCAACAGTTTTTGACTGCTGCACACTCCACCGCACTAGATGCTGACAACCCACTGCATCAGGCTGAACAAGTCGAGAGAATGCTGCAGGAAAAGACTCCCGCTGCACGGTAGATCCGTCATCTCTCTTGTTTGCGTCCTAGGACTTCCGCTCCCCCCTTAACAGCAGGCTATCATACACTCATACTAGTAGTAAAGTAGACCCCAGACCAATCGGCACCGGCGGGGCCAACCGGGCAATCACAACAACAGACTGCGGCACGTGCGCGCTACCCGGCGGTGAAGCACGGCAGAAACAGCCGCGGCGCGTTACACTAAACCCGAAGCAGGCAAAGTGTCGGGCGTCAAGCGGGGAAAGCGAGCAGCTCGTCTCGATCCAGTGCTGTTTTTTTACTGTCCAGTACCAATCATGGCTATTACATCAATCCCCCCGGAGCTTAAATCTTTCTTTCTTCTTGTCTCCCTCCCTTAGAGAACTAACTCACTAACTAATCTAACGTTAGTTTGGCGTCTTATCACCACCACTGCAATTAGTTACCCCGTGCAGAATTCTCTTCTCTTTCTGCCTCTCTCTCTCTCTTTTCTTTTTCTTCCCTTCCCTCCCTCTCTCTCTCTCAGTTCTACCTATCTCCTACTCACTTATCTTTCTCTCCCAGACAAGAAAAGAAACAAGTCACACGACCTGCTGCAGCTCCCCAACTAGCTTAGCTCTTATCCCCTCTCCTCTTCTTCCTCCTCCTCCTTCTCCCTTGCTACTATCCTCTCACAACCACACCACACCACCTCACAATAAAATGTCCTCCCAACCACTCCTCCAAACCGCCCCAGGTAATTAATCCCCCCCTCCCCCAATCCCCCACCCCCTTCAATCCCCATCCTCAATCCCTCCCACCCCAAATCCTAACACCGAACAGGCAAAAGAATCGCCCTCCCCACGCGCGTCGAACCCAAAGTCTTCTTCGCCAACGAGCGCACCTTCCTCTCATGGCTGAACTTCACCGTCATCCTGGGCGGTCTAGCCGTCGGTCTGCTGAACTTCGGTGACCGCATCGGCCGCATCTCCGCCGGTCTGTTCACCGTCATCGCCATGGCCGCGATGATCTATGCGCTGGTGACCTTCCACTGGCGCGCGCAGAGTATTCGCAAACGAGGCCAGAGTGGAATTGATGATCGCTTCGGGCCGACGATCCTCGCTATGGCGCTTTTGGCGGCCGTCGTGGTGAATTTTGTGTTAAGGATGGTGGAGTGATTTTTCTATTCTATTGGTTTTTGTCTGTGTGTGTCGAGGGTGAGGGTATAGGGATTGGGTGTGGTATGATGGGGGAAGGTGGTGAGGCATTGATCGGTGCTGGTCGCTGGTTTATATGTATTTTGGAGGGTGGTGGGATTGAGTGGTATTGGGTATAACTGTGTCAATGGATGAGTTGTTGGGGAGGACCTTGAAGGAAGATGATATGTTTTGTTTCATGCTGTTTGTTAGTAGTATTGAGCATTCTTTTTCCTACGAGTCTAGACTTTGTTTTAACTAGTTTGTTTGTCAAATGTCATCAATAGTACCCACTCATGAGCACATTCATCTCTTCATACCTATATACATCACATTCAATCAATCATACAACTAAACAACTGCAGCAGCTCAACTAAAATACCCCTCGTCAATAAACGTCTCATAACACCAATAATCCTTCTGCTCCCCCTGTCCATCCACACTCATATTCCCCGTAAACTTGGCCGTCCAATACGCACTCCCCTGGGAATAACTCTGCCAAATATCCAACCCCGCCAACACATTCCTCTTCCTCAGCGCAAACGTATTATTATACGTCGCCTGAATCGCCCACTCGCCCACAAACACAGGGAACTTGCCCGTGCCGGACTTCTCTCGCGCATCCGCAAGAATATACTCGGGGAGATTCTCCGACGAGGACTCCATATGCTCGTAGTAATAGTGGTGTGTGTCGAAGACGAGGTTCGTACTTGCGGGGAACTCTCCCTCCCAGTATTGCGGGTACTTGAAGCTGCCCTGGAACATGACGGGGATGTTGGGGTTCACCGAGGCGACTTTTTGGATGACGGCGCGGATGTATTTGAGCACCCAGGCGGCGCCGTGGTCCGTCAGGGCGAGGGGCGTGCCAAAGACGACCATGTTGGTGTTGTTGTCGGCGGGTTCGCTGATGGGCTCGAGGGTGTAGGATTGTGGGGATCCCGAGGTTTGGATGAAGTTGATCACTTGGTCGATTACTTGCAACGAGTAGTTGAAGTTGGTCTCGTTGTAGAACCAGTACCAGTGGCCGGTGGCTTCGCCGATGGTTAGGCCGTTCACGCCCCCGGGGAGGGAGTGTGTGTCGATCACGATGTGCATGTTGTAGGTGTCGATGGCGTAGTCGGCGATTTCTCTGAGGTAGGCCGTTTGGTTACCGGAGTAGAGTTGTGAGCTGGGGAGGTCGATCCATGCGGCGTAGGTTGTGGGGATGCGCAGCACTGTGATACCGGCGGACGCGAGCTTGTCGATGTCGGCCTTGGTGATCCAGGTCGCGTAGCGATGCTCGAGGACAGGGCCGCATTGGGCGCCGAGGTGTTCGCAGAGACCCCATTCGTCGGAGGCGCCGCCGGAGTATTTGTCCCAGAAGTAACTGTCTATTGTGGACTCTTGCACGAGCCAGCCGCCGAGATTGACGCCGTTGCCTTTAAAGGTGCGCCAGTCGAAGTAAGAAGAGTTTGGGGGGCTGGCGAGGGGGGCTGCGAGGGCGGACTGCGCGCAGCCCAGCGCAGCGAGGAACCCTAGTAGATTGTACATTGGGCGCAAGTCTCAGAGGAGATGGATGGTGTGGACCGGTGGTATAGCTTCATTTGTCGGCATAGTTCCAGCACTTCTTATATCTCGTCCATGCTTGTGCTGCCGGCACATGGCCTCTGTCCCGGACCGAGACATCTGGATAACCCGACGAGCCATTCTTTAGCTAGCTCTGAGTTGAAGGATGCTTAGCACTGAGCCAAAGGTTATTCGACAACGAGGGAAGCCAAGGTCCCAAGTCGGGCCATCCGAGGAGCTCAATATGGCCAAGGTCGTCCGTCATTTGACCTAAAGACCGAATACAGCAATAACAGCGAGCGCCGGTTAAATGAGCCATGAAGATTGTCTTCACTAGCTATAAACAGTAGACACCGGCGCGCAAAAATTCCCGCATGACGAATTAATTTGAGCGTAGTGCGGGGTGTGGGGAAATAGGCTTAGGGAATCTTTTCTGCAGTCGGCACCTGAGAAACATCCGAATAACGGCCCCCTCCCGCTCAGATGAGGATCAACACGTTCAAAATCATCCCCTTTGGAGGATGACTCGGAAATTCCATGCCTCGGGATAATGAGGTCCGATGAGACGTGAGATTCTCGGGTGTCCCGACGGCAGAGGCACCTGAGGCCAAGAGATTACCGTGGTTATAAACCGAGAGCACCCAACGCCTCGAGACTCTAAGCCGTCAGCATGAATCTCATCGAAAGCAGATGGAAGCATACTGTCAGCACACTGCCAGAATATTTCTTAGGACAGTCGACCGCTT